TCTACTGTAACCAAGAGTTCATGTATATAATACTAGTGTCATCTTGGGCAGTTTATTTAATACACTACCAATGACACCACCATGGTATATATATACAGCAACTTGTGGTTTATATAGATATCATTCTAATGAAAATTTCATTTTAGAACTGCATTAAATATTATAGGGCGTAAGAGTATATCATTATATTATGCTACAGCAAATTGTATTTCCTGCTATAATATACCTTACTTGTAGGGATAATAAATTATTTTCACTCGAAAAATATCTTTATTGATTTCTAAAGTTAGTTAAAGACTTTTCTTTACTCCGATATATAGAAGTCATTTTCTCTCCAAAGGAGTCGAATTGACTCCAAAAGTGGAGTAAATAAAAAAGGTACAGAACGACTCCTTTTTCGGAGTAAATTTTACTCCTTTATTTACTCCATTTTTGGTGTAAATTTTACTCCTTAAGTAGAGTTGTTTTTACTCTTGGAGGAGTAAAAACAACTCTACTTATGGAGTAAAATTTACTCAAAAAATGGAGTAAATAAAGGAGTAAAATTTACTCCAAAAAAGGAGTCGTTCTGTACCTTTTTTATTTACTCCACTTTTGGAGTCAATTTGACTCCTCGAAATTAACAGTGTAATTGCGATAATTATAGACCAATCTCGGTTCTATCCTCAGTTGCTAAAATATATGAGAAATTAGTTACAGAGCAACTAGAAATTTATCTTGAAACTAATCACATTCTTGCAGAACAACAAGATTTAGGAAAAATCACTCTACACAAACTTCTCTACTTAACATCACGAACCAATGGCTAATGAATATGGATAAGGGTTTGTTAAATGGAGTGATTTTTTTGGATCCCAAGAAAGCGTTTGACTGTGTTGATCATAATATATTGTTAAAAAAATGCGTTGTTATGGAATAAGAGGTGATACGCTTGCTTGGTTCCAGTCCTATCTTTCTAGCAGGATTCAAATATGTAAGGTAGATCAAAAAATGTCCAAGACAAGAACAGTTAAATGTGGAATACCCAAGGTTCTAATCTTGGGCCACTTCTTTTCTTATTATATATAAACGACCTGCCAAACTGCCTGACCTCATCTTCAGCAAGCATGTTTGCCGATGACACAAATGTTTCAACCAATGGCAAAACAAATGACGAACTACAAGAACGCATTAACGTGGACTTAGAAAATATACACCAATGGTTACTTGCAAACAAACTTACACTTAACAAAGATAAAACTGAATACATGATTATTGGTTCAAGACAACGAATTTCAAACTTAGTACTAACGGACCCTAAAATTGAACTTGGTGAATCAGTCATTAAACGGGTTCACAAATCAAAAACTTTAGGCGTAATTATTGATGAACATCTTTTATGAAATCATCAAATCCAAAATATTGTCACAAAAGCTTCAAAAGGAATAGGAATGATGCGACGAATAAAACAGTTTGTTCCCAAATCAACCTTAGTAAAAATATATAATGCCATTGTGTTATCACATTTTGATTATTGTAGCTTGGTTTGGGATAACTGTTGTGATTACTTAAAAAACAGACTTCAGAAATTACAAAACAGAGCGGCCCGAATCATCACTGGTAAAACTTATGAAGTTAGTTCTGAGGATGTTTTAAAAGAATTAGACTGGCAACCTTTAAACCAACGTTATAAAACCAATAAATCGATTTTTAAGCACAGAATACGAAACGAAAAAATGCCATCATCAATTTGCAACATGTTCAAAATTAAAATAAATGACAGATATGATTTAAGAAGTAACAATAACAACTATGATCTTGGAAATCCTGAAACAAATTTTATGAAAAAGAGCTTCAGTTATTCAGCTGCATCCCTTTGGAATGACTTATCAACTACAGCAAAAGAAAAAGGCATTAGCCTTAACAAATCTAAACGTATTCTTGACGGCACTTGATTCCTTTTGGTAACTTTGTAAATATTTAAATAGGATAGGCTATTTTTAGAAACAAATGTAGTGCATGCAATTATTAAGTTCGTTATGTTTTCTCTGTTTTTGTGTGTATATTTGTGTTATTATATTTATATAGCTTGTAAATACTGTAATAAATGGCCTCTTGAAAAACAGGTGCCTACGAGCCCTGAAGAGCTACCGTTTTAAAATATTTTTAAATAATAATAATCAATAATATTTAAGAATCATATGCGACGACTTTCGCGCATTTAATATACGTCGGAGAGCAAGTCAATGTACCTAATAGTGTATATACCAACTATTTTGGACTAAGAATATTCTAAAATGCGTTAATTCATATTTATTTGTGTTGTTAGACAGTTAAACGCTTAGCTGTTGACTGGAAATATATTTTGCGTGACCGCCGAACTAATTGACTAATCCGATTTTGTTTTTATATATATATATATATATATATATATATATATATATATATATATATATATATATATATATATATATATATATATATAATTTGTTAACTTAAAATATAGTCACAACTCTGAGTTTCACGCTCAATGCGATCTTCAGGCGACAATGTTTAAACCTCGATTAAAAATTCCTGTATGGATACGTGCGAGTTCGTTAGGCTACTTGCGTGATTGTATTGCGTGCGCACGTTCAAATTTTCCCGCCAAGAATTGCTTCCGGTGGCAACACTTTGAGAATAGCTCACATCTCCTGTTCAACAATCTTTTCTTGTCACCTTTTAAAATTTCCAGTTTCTCTTGGAGGCATAGGTTGCAACTTTTTGCGCCGCTGCGATAAGGTGATGCTTGCTTCAGAATGGACCACTTGATGTTGAATGTACGTTTCTTGTTTTTCAAGTTCCAAATGTGTTTGGACAGCTCAGTGGATTTAACATAGCTGGTATCTTTGAATGAGGTCTTGTGGTTGTAAAAACGTTTCTTAAACGTGTTTGATGTCATCCCAATATAATCTCGAATTACTCCTGTGTCGTCCGTAACCTCGGCTTTATAGACAACGCTCTTTGTAAGGCAATTATTGTTTAAGGGACATTCAGTGCTTTCTATGCAGTTACAGTTTTCTTTGGTAGATGCTACTACATCACTTTTATTCTTTAAAAGGTTACCGAAGTTATGTTTGGAGATGACGCTTTTACAGTTATCCATGCAACTATAGCTTACTTTGACCGAGTTTCTGTTAAAGATCTTGTGTAGCGGATTAGACGCAGGGAAATGTTTGTCGATCAGGTTTAGAAAGTTTCTAGCAACATTTGTTCTTACATTCTTGCTAAAAGGTGGGTTAAACCAAATTATAATTCTTGTTCTTGTTCTATTCTTTTGTTTATTATTTGGGGAGTAGCGTAGATTTGTTGGGTAATAACTACGGTGGAGCGCGGCTTCATAAAGAGGTGCAGACTTCGAGAAAGCTTCTTGATTCGATGATAACTGAGAAATTCGGTTGCCCACAGAAGATGGGAGTTGCTTTGTAATTGAAGGAGGATGGTTTGAATGACTGTCAATGAAAAGTGGTTCATTGTTAGGCTTTCGATAGGGTTGGTAGCTTTCATCATTTAAATTTAAGGTAATATCTAGGAAGTTGACAGATTGGTGGGTAATTTCTACGGTGATTTTCAATTGAAACTCATCGAAAAGTTGGTGGAGATCATTTCTAGCTTTGTCAGCAAGCCGGGCGGAAGTACCTCGTAGTAGGATTAAACCATCGTCTCGATAAAGGCCGACGCGGTCTTTGCCATATTTCTTTGCCAAGGAATTTAGTATAAACAGGCCTATGAGCTCGCACACTTCTGCTCCATCAAAACTACCTATGGTTACGTCAAACAAGGAATTGTATTGTTGTTTGACCCAGGTTTTACCGTCATTGAACAGAAGCGATTTTCTTGCGTGTTTGATGACTTTGATCTGCTTATCATCGATACTAACGTACCCGCGAGCCCAAGTGATGGCTTTGTCAAGAAGTTCCTCAGTTATAGATGGATAAAACTCTGCTACGTCGAACGAAAGGAAGGAGTGACCAGGTTTGTTCTTGATGTTTTTGAACCAGTCAATGACAGATAAGGAATTTTTCCACTGGTTCAATCCGGTGGCGTTTCTGATTTGTGTATTAATGTCATCCAGGATGATTTTACTAATTTTACCTAGTTCACTCTTTGCTGGGTTGATAAGACGGTATTTAGGATTTGTTTCAAAGTCCTCCTTGTGATCTTTTAATGTAACAAAAGCCTCTTTTGATGCCATTGTCTCGATACGATCGCTGACTGATAGGTTGTCCGTAATTTGGCTTAGTTCAAAGTTGATTTCCTCTATCACATCATTGTCAGTGAGTTTATATGTTTTTGTCACGTTATCTTTCACAATTTTATTGTAATTCTCCGGTGTTGTTTCATATACGTTTTTGGTTTTGTCCGCAAAAACATTACAGTGGCGTAGCCAGAGTCAAAGTTTTGGGGGGCGAGATCCGAACGCCAAGGCGTGAGCCATTATAGGGGGGTCCGGGGGCATGCCCCCCGGAAAATTTTGAAATCTAGACTCCCGCAAATGCGATTTCCTGCATTTTCCGGGTGAGATTTTGCAGAATAAAGTTGGCATTCTGAGGATTATATATTGGATAAAAGACATGATTTTCCTTGATTTCACAAATGTACCAATCTTCTTTTCTCCCAAATGTAATAAATTGTCAAAGCCATCTATACTGCAGAACTGAAGTTGGGTTATTCTTTTCACTTTATGACCCCTTTATCCCTAGAGAAGTGTGTAAAAAGGCTTAAACGAACATTAGTTGGACATTTTGAGTTCAAATAATGCGAAGTTCTTTTATTCGACAGTGAGACACTGTTCGTTTCTACAATGCTTTTTAAAAGAAATGGGGACTCAGAGTCTGATAAAGTGTAAATTTAAATATTTGAAAGAATAGAGCAATAGTTGAGAGTAAATGTTTAATTTAAAAATCTAAACTAAACCCATTCTTCTTGGAGCCATGTCTACGAACAATTGCACAAGATTGTCCACATCAAGTTGCTCCAACAAGTCGTCTTCGATGGACATCAGCATCAGACTATTCAGTCTTTCCTGCTGCATGGTTGTCCTAAGTCGAGACTTTATCAACTTTAGCTTCGAAAATGTCCTTTCGGCACTTGTTGATGTGACGGGCAGTGTCAAAGCAATTTTCATCAGCTTTGTTAAATTTCCATAGCATTCGGGTTCAGCTTGCAATGCTTTGAACAGGTCGTCGAAACTGGCTTTTCTCTTCTCTAATTTTGCCTTCTCGAGGATGTTAGCAAGCAGCGACGATGTCTGTAGGGAAAATATTTCGCTCTCTACTTCATCAACATCAAGATCGCATTGGAACCATTGGGCCGCGACAGAAATATGTTTCCAAGCTTCTGGATTGCCTATCCGAGAAGGATTTAAGTATCCGAGACCCATCAAAACTGGTGCGTTATTCTTGTCAAATCGACTTTCAATGGAGCTAACCATAAGATCAAGTACCTAGATTTCGAAAAATACATAGCTGTAAATATTTTTATAAGCGATTGGAATGCATGTTTCCAGAACAATTCATTATTCATATAACCTACATTATAGTAAAAGGAAATTCCAAACTTGTCTTTCGACGTAAGATGGACTGCTGTGTCAGGATTATCGTCGATCCTCCTAGGAAGTTTGTGGGTACGCTCTTGTCTTGGTTCTTCGATATTCAAGCTGCGACATTTTCTAACAGTAGTTTCCCAAAATTCCTCAAATTTGGGCTCGCATCGTAGAGCCTGTACTGTGCTTAGCAGATCAGCAACTCTTTCGCAGCCGGTGACGACATCCAAGTCCTCTGACTGCAGCTTATCTGACACTCCCTTACTGAGTAGCAGGACTTTCTTCAGCACCTTAATAAAAATGATCAACTCACATCATTAAATTTTCATTAAAAATAAAAATGAATAAAATATAAATCACGGTACGTTTGTCATCAAAACAGTACCTCCAAAGCCAAAACAAATTCAAAATCACAGACGTTCTGAAACAACCCCTTTGCTTCTGCTGCAATGTGAGCCTTCTTTTCATTTTCTCTGATCTCTTTTAGAGTCGCGATGACAGCTTCGAGTGTGTGGTAAATTGCGGTGATGCTGTCCGCCCGATATGCCCATCTTGTATCAGACAATTTCTTCAGAACGTACTCACGCTTCTTTTTTCCTTCATCATCTGACGCATTCAACTTTCTCTGGTGTTTCAAGTACACAGCATGTTTGTGCAAGTTTCGATGAACACGTATAGATTTTGCAACGTTCCAAAGAAATCTCTTGCTATACTATTGTTACTCATTGTGTCCACGATGACCAGATTTAAAACATGAGCATAGCAATGTGTGTAAATTGCTGACGGGGAAATCTCTTTGATGCGTGCTTGCAGTCCGGTATGGATTCCAGACACGTTACTTGCACCATCATAACATTGTCCACGCATGTTTGAAAATTCTATCCCACACTGTTGTAATTTCTCTCGGATGGTATGGAAAAGCGCTTCAGCTGTGGTTTCTTCCATAGGTTCTACAGCTAAAAGACGTTCTTCTATCACTCCATTCCAGACATAGCGAACAAGTACAGCTAACTGTTCCGTTTTACTAAGATCTGGTGTCTCATCTGCAATGATTGCATACATCTCGGCTCCTTTGACACGACGTATGATTTCGTCTAATATAGCTGAACCAACCACCTTGATCAACTGATTTTGGATCTCAGGGCTAGTGTATTTAGCGTTTTCTGAAATCGATAAAAAGAAATAATTACAGAATTATCATAATTACGACTTCAGTTTATCTTTATTATTCCTTATTCCATTCTATTATCATGCAGTTTCATATATCCCTATATTCCACCGAAAATTCGTAGTAACCTTAACGTTACTGAACCAGTGAATGATATAGTTACCTGCAGAATTTCGTAAATGATCTTCAATAAGAGAATCAGACTTTGCTATATGTTCAAGAAATTCTTTAAACACCCCTTTGTTTAAAGAATTCTTATCCTCGCGGTGTCCCCATTCAGTTTTGTGTTAACTTTATACGCGTCACTCAATTGTTTCTTAGGAATAAACGTATTACCAGGATTACCACCATATCACCGACATTTTTATGCAAAACTGGCGTTTGATGAAGGTAGGTTCACTCCTTGACGACGTCTGCATGCAAAGAAGACAAATGTCATTGTTTTACGTTGTCATAATATAAGAAGCGTTTCTTGTATTTTATAATACATATCAACTATTTGACGATACAGCTAGAGAGGATGAATTATAGTTTGTTTGTGGAACTTTTCATACTTTTGCGATAATTAGTAATTATTTAAAACAACAGTATTGAGTATTACACATCGCATTTTGATATATAATTAAACACTACCAGGGCCATGGTCCATGTATAATTGCAAATTAAACGGTACGCATTAAGTGTAAACAACTTAACAAGGTTAGGACTAACTTAGGAAAATAATTAAAGCGCAAATCACACAATTAACTCACCTGTGCGTTGAACACTCTGCAGACGAAACAAAAAGCTTTATCCAACGAGACAGAATACTCTAACCAAGGAAATTTCTCATACCACGATACTAGAAACTTACGATTCCGGTTATCCAAAGGAAAATTTATATCTCTTGGCTGGCAAGATCCTTTGCTTATAACGTGGTCCCTGGCTTCTCTTCCACTGGGCAAAGGACAGGAAGGTTCGTACTCATAAGACGAAAGATCTTGAGGAACAGAAGCTTCTGCCATTTTTCATGTATACAATAGTCTGCGCTAGTCACGCAAGAAAATTCAGCGCATATTATAATTTACTATTCAGTTTTCGCGATGACATGATCGGATAATACTAAGGAAGTAGACTCGCCCAGATTTAATCTGTTAAGTACTTTTGAGTATGTTAGCTTAAGTAAATTGTTTTGACAGTTATAGTAATTGCTTTTGCGCAGCTTTGCCAATTCAATGGTTTGCGTGTTTTAACACCTTGTATATAAGCATATAAATACCAGCTCAGCGCTCCCAAGACATAAATGATTATATCAGATTTGCGCACTCGATATTTTTACCCAAACTTGGGTAGCTATAATTTCCATACCTCAACGGCATAATTATATTGTGAGTTTGGATTTTGTTAAACGTACCCCCCCCCCCAACTGCTATACGGATTTAGACTTTTCGCGAGAATGGTCTTAGAAGCGATTGGGGGGGGGCGATCGCCCCCCCCTCGCCCCCCCTTGGCTACGCCACTGGTCAAAATAACAAAATTGTCTCGGGAAGCGGCATGAAATTTTCTCATATGAACATAAGAAAATTTCATTTCGTTCCAGTTTCCATATAGACACTTCCTAAGATAGATTGGCGAAGTATGTTACTATAGTTATTTTGAGGGGTTTTTTTACCATGCAGTCATAAGAAATACTGCATGCATGCAAGGACTCTAATAGACTTGATTGTTCATGGCACTTTTGCTCCAAACGGCCTCGTTTCGATGTTTGCTTGTTTTAAATGGCATGTCTTGAGCACAATCGCAAAGCGGGAGAAATAACCCCATGGAAACAAACAAAGTAATAATTTTTTCAAGTAATGCTCACAAAAATAAGCAACTTGTACTCAAAATAATTTGTCTAAATATTTCGACACATATCAGCTTTCGCGAACAATGAAGTCAGGCTTAGTCAGCTATATTCTTGTTTTTCAAAACAAAAATGTCGCTGACATGCAGCTGTTTGGACTCGCGAAGCAAAAACAATTCGTTTGAGATGTATGCCATTTCACTTAATTGCAAATTAGTTTGTTTGTAGTTATGGAAATGTGCATGCTTAGCTAAACTGCCATACAACTTAACCGCTAGCACGGAATATGAATTTTTCTCATTCAACAAGTAAGCCTTAACAAAACAATATCGTTTGTGGAGGTTTAAGTCTCCCAGATATGAAGGTTACAAAAACTACGAAGAAATGTTAAAAATAAAGTGTGAAAAGCTTTAAAAAATTAGAACATGTAATTTGGAACATAATTGGTTCAATGTAATGCATATTTTAGCAGACACCTGTGCTGTTCTATATCATCCAACCAAAATACAACCGTGTTTTACACATGTGGTATGCAAGGAGTGTGGCTATTTATTATTTATACCTTGAATGATATGAACTAATTCAGTTTAACTTGACACTAGAACAGTCAAAGATGTTTGTGCTACAAGTTCTGATGTCCTTTACGCTACTTGGTCTTGCCACATCGACAAACAATATTTACATTGACACACTTTTTTATACTTCTCTTTTTCCCTTGGTCTTTGTCATTAAAGTCTTAAGCATAGGTTACGAGTGCAATTTTTTTCTCGCGCCGGCAACGCAAGGGGTCAAATTTCATTGCGTAGTCGGAGAGAGAGAAGAAATCGCACTTGTTTCATGTTCTGCGTGGAAACGCAATTGTAACTTTATATCTTCGACAATTGTTGTTGAACGTTAAAATGATTTAAAGCGGCAATGATTGCCGAAGGTATCGAATTGCAACTGATTTCATTTCTAATAGTATTCTTCCAGATGGCCATCGTTATTTAAGTTGACATATATGTATGTAACATATTGTAAATCATGATATTTTCTGTGTTGGTGTAATGTACTCAGGTGAAGAAGATGCTTGTGATGGACTAGTATTCCAAAGGTCGTAGGTTCGATTCCCACCGTGCCCATGAAGGCATATTTTTCAAGCCTGCCCGATGTGGATATACACTCAGGGTATAACATCACAAGCATATTGTAAATCTTTATACCCTTTACATATAATCCCCGAAGAATTGATTTAGTATGAGAAATCCTAAAGCATAGGGCAAGTTTGTTGCAATTGTTCATGTGTGACTTTATATTATTCAATATATATAGACATGGTTCTTGTTGTTCAAGTCTTTCCTATGCATTGTATGCGAAAATTTCTTAGTTAAATAAGCTTTTGTAGAAGTTCATTATGTTTATAAGCGTCTGCACGAATTAAATTTATTTCATTTCAAAGTGCGAGTAATAAGTTGAAGCTCGAGTTGAAAAGTTTATTAGTTTAATTAATATCGGCAGAAAGCAGTGTTAATTTCAAATAACAAATATAAAACATTTTCCGTGTTGATATGCAGTTATATCAACACCAGTGGAAATTGGAAAAACGAGAAATTGTGTGGAAACACGACGCCCGAAGTGCGGAGTGTTTTCACACAATTTCAAGTTTTCCCAATTTCCACGAGTGTTGATTTAACTGTATGTCAATAGGGAAAAAATCTCGTAGCTCGTGGCTTTAAACCTAATAAAATACTCCTGCTCGTTTATTAAACAGTATAATAAAGCCCATAGAAAGCAAAATAATATACCTACTTTATATATTTTCTAAATTAAGCAAAATCTTCTAGATGCTGAGCATATTAGTTTGTCCAATATAAAGTAGCTTAAGAGATTTTTAAAGTTTTGTCAGCCGAAGATTTAATTCGTACAGCCACTTATGAACGTAATGAACTTCTATACAAAAGTTAATTTAACTAAGAAATTTTCGCATACAATGCATAGGAACATACTTGAGTTGTTCTGGATATATTTAAGTGCATGGTTTGGGAAAGAGTTAAATAACATTGTCCCACTATAAGATTATTTAACAATTATTTGCCGAAGGCGAGGTGATTATCGGGGAATATTCGCAGAGAAGAAGTCGAGGTGAATATTTCCCGATAATCACCGAGCCTGAGGCAAATAATTGTTTTAGTATTTTTCCACAAGACTTTTGTGTTATTTGGTACTGAATTTATTTTAATTTCGCATATTTCTTTATCAGTAAACGGCTAGCCGCCATTTTGAAAATTTCAATTTTGTTATATTCACCTGTAGGTAGATATAACAGCTTAATACGTCAAATTTGACCAATCAGATTGTAGGATTTATTATGTTCACTTGTGCAAAAATACTAAATTAAGTTAATCAGCAAATGAAAATCGCTTTGCTTGACAAATGGAGTGACTAGTGAAAAATACATTTGGGGCGGCTAATCCAGTCCCGTGGACTAGTAAAATATATATCTTCAAGCTTACACACTATACTGTCGATACATGACGAAATCAGTTAATTACCAAGACGTTAAAAATTCATGTCTTTTTAAAACGCATATTAGGACCCTTAGGCAGTCCATATATTGACAACGTAATATTTTTGTCTCTATCGATCACACCGCACTCACAGACTTTTAAACTTGGGTCTAAAATTAAGAGCGCTAAATGTTGGATTGACATTTTTTGCCGGTTTTAACCTATAATATAGTATTGAACGGCATGGTTCGAAAACACAAACAAAAAGTGTTAAACTACCTAAACAGATGCTATCTTAGTCGCAGTGCAAGGAACACTTTGTTTCATTGCAAAAAAACTATATTTGAACATGTCTATACATATGTCGTTCCAGCGAAGCGGAATACTATGTGCATGGGATAAAAACATTCATATAAACACTGTCACATTACAATGCTGTAATTCATCTCACTCAAGTGAGATTCCTGGCCATGAGGGCAGATGCGAAGGGGAAGTTAACCTTTCTGTGCAAAATTATTTTGCTTTCAATTGTAATTTCGCCCATTTATGAACAGCTGGAATTTAACATTGCGCAAATTGAAATATTCGCGACGAAAGACCTTCGCTCGAAATGTCGAATTTTGCTTTCTATTTTTCAGGTGGTTGCAACCCTGCCAAGGAAAGTTTTGCTAGCTGTACATCCCCAAAACTCTATATTTTCAGTATCACAACTGTTAATGAAAATTGATGTGAATATATGGACGTAGTTCCTTATTTTGTATTTCTCTGACACTAAATTAAATTTGTGTTCAAATGTGATCTGAATGATGGGTGGCTTAGTTCAAAGGTCGCGCTTGCCATGTGCGGATGTGCCGAACCTATAATTTGAAGTGTTTACCATATCATAAGCGCGACTTTTGAATGAGTCGAAAAAGTTGGTCGTCGTGCGTAAAAGTCGTGGGTTGAAAAATGCCCTAAATTTGCGGGTGTTTTTGCCAAAAATCCCTATTTTTGTGGAATAAATTCTGTTTTAGTAAAACGCGAATTTAACCGAAATTCTTCATATTATGACATCGAATTTTAATGTTAAGCACTGTAGCATTATTATTGAACCCGTAGGGTTCATAACAGAAACCGTATATATTTCTGAGTTGGATAAAGATAGTCGTGCCAAAAAAGACAGCTTAAGTTCCACGACTCGACCGGCTCAACGACGTGGTCTGAATTTCAGCTCAAGAATGAGCGCTAAGCAATTTCATTACTGTAATAAATGTTTGAAGATTTTTCAAATAACATTACGAACTGCTAAGTTCGACTAAAGAGATGCAATGTTTGCTTTAATTTCGACTTTAAGTAACACCTCTTGGGTCGCAATAGTTGACCTGCATCCTAAGGACGAAAGCGGGCTTATATTCATTTATGCAATGTTCTTTCGTCAAAATCCAAGATCTGATTGGTTATGTTAGTGAAAATATGCTAATGCGACCCAAAGCGACCTATAAAAGCAACTAATGTATGCAGATTATTTGTTTTGATATGGACGAAAATATCATATTATTGCGTGCCTCTGCAAATTCCATTCCTCCGGGCACAGTATTATAGGTGCACAGAAAGCGAGTGTTTGCCATGCACTGTTCGGTACGGCATGCCTGTTTATGCATCCAAATAGTGTTATACATGGGGAAATACAACTTTACATGCATGTATTGAAGAGTTATACCTACGTTGGTGATTGGTAGCCTAGTCACAGTCGTATGAGCGACTACATAACGGTAAATTGCGTGCTTTTGCAACCAAACGGAACTGAGTAATCACTTCGACACTTCGTTGTTTGTTGTGCGACGTCCGCAGTAAAGCTTATTGAATAAGCTATCAAAATTTTATTTCACTTTTGAAAAAAAACCAGTACATTTTGAAATAAATTTGCATTATTTAGCATAAATTATAAAATGTGTCTTCAAATGTTAGACATGAACTTATCTATGTTCCACATATTGCAATGTATAGTAAAAATTTAAATGCACAAAGTTGTACATATTTATTAGCAACATGTCCAGCAAGTATGGCTGAAAAGGAATAAAAAGAAAAAAAGTTACGGCTGTTTGAATAACCCTTCTCGAAACCGTCAAAATGTAGTAAAAACGATAGTACACATAGATGTGTCTTGTTTTGAAAAGTATGCAGGAAAATATTAGTATGCATAGAATATTTTGTCCATGATACATTATATATGTTCCTGCACTTTGATTTTGTGCTTCTGGATCTCCACACATCACTCACTTATTGGATCTGGATCTCTACACACCACCCACTTATATATAATCCACTTTTTTTTGTTTATTTTCCTTTTTTGTATATGTTATCATTATTTATATTACAGTTGAAGGATTTTGTACATGGAAATTATTGAGGGTGAATTTATATACTTTTATTAGATCTAAGCAGGAACAGCTGTGAAAAAATGCGACTACAGGTCCCTGGCAGGAATCAAACCTGGGGCCCTGGGGCCCTTCGATTCTGCTGTATTGGAATCGCAGGGCCGCGAGTTTCACTCCTGGACCTATAGTTGCATTTTTTTGTAGCTGTTCCTGGTTAGGTCTAATAAATGTATGAATGTATGTAAATTTACCATGAATAATTTCCATCTACAAAATACTTCAACTGTTATTCAATCGAGTGGGATACTAACAAAATCTTTGATATCATTATTTATATTAGATCATGTATATGTTAATTATTCATGATATGCACTATTATGCCATTCCAAAAAACAATTTCTCTCCCTAGTTACATGTAGATACTTACCACACTGTGGGGCACTACAATATGTGTGCACCTTGAACTCACCTCTACCCTGCTTGTAACAAACTGCACACCGTCTCCTAAAATCTGTAAACTGTGGCACATGAATTGAATCAAACACACTGGTGGGGATAGGGAGAGTTGGCCTCCTTACAGCTACAGGGGGGTTAGCATACTCAGAGAACCCACAAATTTGCCTGATAACCTCCTCCCTAAAATTACGGACTGTGTACCCCGGGGGTCTTTGTAAATCCTCACTGTCTGGGAAATTGGCTCGGTGTTCTTGAAAGAGAATGAAACCATTTACAACAGCAATATCAATGAGATGGAAGAACAAGGTTTTCCACCATCGCAAGCACTTACGCATAACATTATTAGTACCTATGAGTTGATCCGAACGATCAACCCCATTCATATACTTATTGTACCTATCAATGGCCATGGGTTGGTCAACTATTACATTAGTCCATACATTACCTGTCTTAGTCTTTCTTTCAGTTGGAACCTTATCGTTAGCATTATCTAGGGTTGTTAGTACTGATACAACCTTGTTATCTATCCACTGTAAACAAAGGCAGGGAGGAACCCTCTCCCAGCGCATACTTCCCCTTTCCAATTTCTTTGCCCACTGCTTTCCATTCTTCATGCTCACTGGGAATTGTCTGCGGTTCTCCGATATTGTCCCAGTTGCCAGCACACCGACATCAAATAAATCTCTGAAAAGAACAACTGATGAATAAAAATTATCAAAAAACAAATGATAGCCCTGATGGCGAAAAGGTTGAATTAGTTCCATAACTACATCATACCCCAGACCATTATTACTAACAGTTTCTGCAGCGTGCCTCCCAATATACACATTGAAGTCAACAGTATATCCATTACTGCTGTCGGCTAAAACCCAAAGTTTCAACCCCCACTTAGTGGGCTTATCCCTGATATACTGTCTAATGCCAGATCTGTGCCTAGATTTAACCATACGTTCATCAATGGCAAGATTCTGTTTGGGCTGGTACAAACTAAGGCAACGGGATTTGAAATAGGTGATGAACGCATTTACTTTCCGCAACCTATCTCCGGGGTCTTCGGTATTTGGGTCTACAACATGCAAAAAGGCCATCAGAGCACTAAACCTATCCCTTGACATTATGGCCCGGGCCCACAATCCATGATACAGGGACTTAGTACTCCAATAATCAAACTGTGTACTTACCCGCACTAAACCAAAATAAAGAAGAAGAGCAATTAGTCTATCTATCTCTTCAGGGGTGGTTTCTTTCCAACTACCGTCAGCCATTGTGTAGGTATGGTGTGTACCTGATGCAATGTTATTGTAAGCGTATGTGTTTGTATGAGTTACTATACTAGCTAACATTTCTGCACTAAAAAAAAGATGAAAGAACTCACTAGCCGTGGTCATGGTTCGTTTTAGTGTGCGCTGATCAAAGTGTAATCCGGGTGGGCGGGTTGGCTGAAATGGTGGAATGTCATTTCCAACATCAGGGTCCCCATAGCTCTTCCAGGTCTGTTCACCCCCTTGGACAGGAACCCCAGCTTCGGCCGTACCCCTGCACCTTCCTCGGCCCCTTCCCCTAGCCTGGCCCCTTCCCCTAGCCTGGCCCCTTCCCCTAGCCTGGCCCCTTCCCCTAGCCGGGCCTCTACGACTTGTTGTACCGCGGGGAATCCCAGCCTGCTTACCACTACCACAAACTGGACTGCTGGTACCAATCTCAGCACCAGGAATGTAGTCATCATCTTCATCATCAGCACTGGCATCGTCATTTTCTGGGAGAGTCAACATCTCAGTGTCATCTTCGTCATCGCCACCAGCACCACCAGCATTGCCAACACTTGGAACGAGATCAGGAAAGTCTTCTTCATACCTGAAAGAAAAATAAAAAATAAGATTACAAGCCATTTCCTCATACCCTCATAAACACAACTGTATATACTATTTTTCTCTATGTATATTTTCAATGTATTTCAATGTAATAAAAATATATAAATTCACACCATAGGTGAATTACATTATATAGTTACAAGTATATACAGTATTATTTAGTATAAATATTTATATTATTTCTAATTGTTTCATGCCCTCTCAATCCGTTTCAAGTGGTGAATATAAGTATATACTATATCTCATGCAGTAAACATTGATAGCTGACAAATAGTTTCTTGAGAACATCGAATTCAGCATAAGAGCTCCGTCTCTCAGTCGTGAAATAGTACTTCTAGCACTCCAAATATGTTTCATTATATATACAAGACATTTCCTGGGAATACGCAACTGTATGCAAAGCGTTCAATCGGGGTATTTAAATTTTGTTGATAACAATAGGCCATGCGTGATATAATTAGGCGCTCGGTAATCTGAGAGCTCTGCAGCGCTGGCACGATTTTGTATTTCTTGCTCATAACACAACCGTTTTTACCCAAGAA